CCCCCCCCTGCAGCGTGCGCCCTCCCACCAGTCACTGTGTTTCTCATGGCCTCTGTGTTCTCGGCCGTCCAGGGTTCCAGCAGGCCGAGGCAGCTGCACCAGACACCAACCACAAAGGCCTTGTACTGCCCTAGGCGGGACGACCTGGTCTCACAGGGCTGACTGTGGTGCAAGTCCCGTCCACGCAACTTGAGGAACACGCGGGGTCCACATGTGCACATGCCCAGTCCCGAGACAGTGTAGAGTGGGGGAGGGGGCGACAGCATGCCCGCCCGTGGGGCTTTCCACCTACCCACCACGCTGCTGAGTACATGAGCCCTAGGAACATTAGAGTGGACATCTGGCTATATCCCAGCCCCCACCGGACCCCCACCCTGTGCCAGCCTCCCCAAGGCCCACGGCCCTGAGTCGCAGCAGCCCCCACCTGAGACCCCCATTCTGGGGGCTGCCTGTGGTCAGCTACAGCCCAAGAACAGACGAGCAGAGTGAAGTGCCATGTTGTGAGAGAAGCACACACACCCACATAGCTTTTATCACAGCGCATGTTTCTAGCCGGCCCGCCTTGGTAGTAGCTGCCATGAATCCGTAAGGTGCCTCGTTCACAAGTTAAACCATCGCGGCTGTGCATGGACACCGGCAAACACCGGAACACGAGCTCCAGTGCGAGGCAGGCGGCAGGCACCACGGGGGTCTCGATGGAGATCTCTTTTATTACTTTTTAGAGACAGGCTCTCACTGTCCGTGCCCTGAGGTGCTCGGAGGGCCAGCGTGAGGGTGACCAGTTCTGCAGCCAGAGGAAGATGGCACAAGGACCGCCTCTAACTGCGTTAGGTGAGAACAGAGAGGACTAGATGTCTTCAAGACAGAGCCGACAGTTACGAGGGAAGCGAGGTGGGAAGCGAGGAGGCATTGCAGCATGACCACACTAAAGGCGAAAGCACGTCTAGCAGGGTGGTCATGGGTGTCACCAAGCTGCTGACATGAAACATATGACACTGACGACGAGGGTCAGCAGGTGAGGGCCCCAAACACTCCTTCAGGACGCCCTCCCAACACAGCCCGGAGGCCCCAGAGAGCAGAACTGCTGGTGGGAAAGGCACGGACCCAACGCCGTCCCACAATCCCCAGCTTCTGTGCCCAGCACTGTGCTGCCACTCTAGCCATGACTCCACAGCCCTGGTACAGCCAGGCCACGGCTCCAGAGGGTGCCATCCATCCAGCTGCGAAACGCCACTGAGCATAAGAGAGGGTGGCAGGAACAGATGGCATAGTGGTTACATCGCTGGACTGCAGTTCGAGTGTTGGACCCAGCAGCTTGAAACATTTTTTTTTTTTGGAGACGTTTTTGCTATAGGGCACGTGCGCTCACCAGACAGACAGAGAGAGACAGAGGGACAGAAAGCGAGAAATCACCCCCCAGGGGGGATGGCCATGCCGCAATCCCCTCTCCTCCATTCTCCTCGCAGGATCTTGGGCATGCATGCACATGCACCCAACATGAGTTTAAGCCACCTGGTCTGGGATTCGAATCGTGGTCAACTATATGGGAGTCCAGCAACATAGCCATTACGCGAACTTCAGCGGCTTGAAATTTATGCCGGCACATGAGCATGCGTGCCCAAGATCCCAGAAGGAGAATGGAGAAGGGAATGCAGCATGGCCGTCCCCCAGGAGGTGATTTCTAACTTTCCCTCTCACCGTCTCTTTCTCACTCCAGCAAGCACACACACCCTCTGGCAAAAACCTCTAAGAAAAGAAGAGAGAGAGAGAGGCTCATGACACAGCACAGTGGGAGCTGAAGACCTCAGCTGCATAAAGAGCCACTCTCAGACCTTTACCTGCTCTGCAACCGCACCTATAACATCCACAGTAATACACCTGCAGAAACGGAGAGCAAATCAGTGGTTAGGGCCAGGGGAGAGGCAATGCTGGATGGTCTTAGCTACAGTGGTGGTTATACTTGTCTACACATATGATCAAACCACATGAAACTACACACACACACGTCCCATAGCATGTGGGGCCAGGAGGTGGTGTTGAGGTTAAGGCACTGGACTCCCACACGGCTGACTACAGTGCAAGTCCAGGATCCAGCGGCTTGAATCTCACACTGCGTGCACATGTACATGTGCCCAAACCCCAAGAGGAGAATGTGGCACGGCCATTCTCCCTGTGGGCTAGTCTCTCTCTTTCTGTCTCTCCAGTAAGTACATGCCCTGGCCTGCCCTGTGCCGACGTGCGGGCCTGGCCGTGAGCTGCGCTCTCGGCTGCTTCTGCAGCGCCCCACGCCCGTGTGATCTCCCAACCCCAGAAGTCCAGACACGCCTTCCCTCCTCGCTCCCGGCCACCGCTGCTCTGGGCTGGGCCGCACTGCACCTACATCAGGAAGACGTGGAAAGTCAGAGCGCCCAGGTCTAGGCTAAAGCTGCCGCGGAGGGTCAGAGAGGGCGCAACAGAGTGGGCCACCCTGGCCCGCCGCTGCACGGTTCTGAGGAACCCAGAGTAGGGCTCAACACCATGCTGGTCAGACGGGCGCCCGTCACTACAACAGAGACAGCGCGGCACGGGCACCGAGTGGAAGGTGCTAGAGTGTGGCGCTGGCCCTGACCAAGGGATTCCAGGGCTGAGACGATGCCAGGACACATGGGGTAAAGCCAATCAGGCCTCATTTTTCTTAAAGAAAACTTGCAAGGGGGCTGGCAGGTGGCGAGGTGGCAGAGGGCACTGGACTCCCACATGGCCAACCACGGCTAGAGTCCTGGACCTGGTGGCGTGCTTTCTCACTTTCCAACTCTCTTGCGCTCTCTCACTCTGTCCCTCTCTGGTCAAATTTACATAAATACATAAACACAAATAATTATTTAAAAAAAAAAAAAAAAGGGACCAGCAGTTAGCGTAATGGCTATGTCACTGGACTCCCATATAGTCGACCGTGGTTCGCGTCCCGGACCCAGTGGCTTAAAACTCACACTGGGAGTGTGCGCTCGCGTGCCCAGGACCCCGAGAGGAGAACGGAGGAGAAGGGATTGTGGTGTGGCCATCTCCCCCGGGGGGTGATTTCTAGCTTTCTGTCTCTCTGTCTCTGTCGGGCGAGCGCACGTGCCCTATTAGTAAAAACCTCTCCCCCCACCAAAAAAAAAAAAAAGATTAAAAAAAAAATTAAAAAAGAAAGAAAGGAAATTTAAAAGAGCTTGTTTTATTTATTTCTTTTAAAGACTTACTGGAAGCAGCATATGGTGTAGAGGTTACATCACTGGACACCCACGCATTACACCACAGTCCAAGCCCTAGGCCCAGCAACTTACACTCATACCAGGCACAAGTGTGTGCATGCCCTTGGGAACCAGCAGTTAGCGTAATGGTTATATCGCTGGATTCCCACGTAGTCGACCGCGGTTCGCGTCTCAGACCCAGTGGCTTAAATCTCACGCCGGGCACGTGTGCGTGCGTGCCCAAGATCCCGAGAGGAGAATGGAGGAGAAGGGATTGCGGCGTGAC